CACGACACCACGCACTACATTACTACGTGACAGGGGGTACAGTGCGCGTCATCGGCAGTCCATCACTGACTGTCCGACCACCACTACACCAGATCTTTTTTTAAGTCAATGTGTCTGCTGCACGCATCGCAAGTGGGCAGCACAAGTCAGTCTGGCACTAGAAGCACCTCAATTTTCTGCCTCAGTCATGCATACACGTTTTGCGGGTAGCTGACAAACACAATGTAGCGGTGTGCTTCGGCTTGATTGAACGCCAGCCTCGGCACGCCAGAAGAAGTTTGACGCTTCTTTGTGGTAGATTGCACGTCACCTGGTTCTGTGATGAGCGACAGGAGAGCTTTTGTGTGCTTGTCCTGGAGAGCCTTGTGACTCAGTGGTAGGTGATCGGGTGTGCAGTCTGTCAACGAATGATTTTAGTAGCTGAAATGACACAAAAGAGTTCGCGAGGGCAGTTACATTTCCTGTAGGCTGCTCTAGCACTTTTGCTAAGCGGGTACATAGATGAGAGGTGCAGGGTCTTGTGCCATGGTCTCCGGCAACGTCCCACTACCAGAGATTCTTGGTGGGGAACTCTGTGGCTGGTGTCTGCCACGGGCCCTTCTGTGTAGGAGTTGTAAGGTATCTTTGCCATTGCTAAGCTTTATTGCAGAATAACTGCCTCGATGTGGTGCCCCTTGGGAGCTACATTCAATGCGGCAAAGTTACACTGCCCAGTACTGCCCAGAGGAGTTTTCTCGGGACTTCTGCCTCATGGCTTCATACATGTACCACGCCATGCACCACTGCGAAGGTGGTCTATGGCAACCCGTCATTGCAACATGCCCGTCCATGCCTCTCGAGGTTTGAGAGCGTTGATCATTCGCACACAGTTGTCGGTGCCTTCATTAAATTTGTTGAACTCTGGTTATAAGGCAGCAGGTGACGAAGACGCTATGAAGCTGAGTTCGCATGAGAGCACCACGAGGGTGTATCCGAGCTCTCTGTGGCTCTCGGGTGAGCTCTCGTTATGGTATTGCGAAGTAGCTGTGGCCAATGTGCCATTGTGTGAGTATAGTGTTCGCAAGGCTGCAGAAATTAGCACAGAGGTCGGCATTGTCAGCACTTTGACTAGAAGACATAGTCACACAGTAGTATGTAGCAGTTCCGCTATGCTCTCAGGTGATCCGCAACAAGAGTCAAGGGTGGCATTTGTGGAGAACACAGTGACTCCGTGCAAATCGTGGTAGAGGGCATGGCCAAGGACGTGGAGACCCTTGGGGACCAAGATTTTGTCAAATTCCTGGACACAAGTTCAATGCCACTAGAAGGGTCAACGGAGTTCCCAGACAAGTGGAAGTCATGTGTTGTTAGACAATTTTAGTTGGGCGCACGTAACGAGCCTACGTACGCAGCACTGCCACGGGAGAGAACTGCACATCTGCAGTACGTAACACATCGATTCCAGAAATGCGCGCGTACGCCCAAAAGAAGACGCTGCGTACGTCAAGCAACGCTTACAGCGTTACGTCGTTCTCTCGAGACCTCGAAGAAGCCAAAACTAGAATATATGGTGGCAGCAGTGACGTTCAACGCAGACAGCAACAGCGAACCTGATGCAAGGCATGTGCACTTCACAATGAAAGGCGATGGTTTCATGACTGACAAGGTTAATTCATGCGGCGCGTTACGGCACCCTGATGATTCAGAAGAAGTTGCCTAGTGTCTCACGAAAACCTTCAATAGGTTGTGTGCGGCAACACCTCCCTTTCTGCCAGGCCCCTCGGCAAATGAACTGGTAAATTAAACGAAAATTCGTACGCACTTTTATTCATGGTGCAAAATAACATGCCTTGGATGTTGCGCGAGCTTTCACTCAATAAATGGGCCGGTAATGCATCGTAATGTCATGAATACCTGGAATGCGACCAGTCGCTGTGAGGTACGCTAAGCCTCATCCGCAGCAGCACTGATGAGGGCGCTGGGGTTGATCCAGTGCGGCCATGCCCGATCATACGCCGTTCTTACATTGCGTACCCAAGTTCAAAACAGCAAAGGTAAATGTGTGCTTTCAGTGCACCACGGAATGATGGCAAAAATCTACGCAGCGAACGTCACGGCCTGATTCGTACGGTGGTGCCCTTACCAGGATGCTCAGGATGTTCAGGATATCAGGATGTTTTTGTGCAGTTGACAGAGGCCACGTTGTTACTGGGACCACGGTACTGGGACCTCACATTCTTCTAACGTACGTAGGTGGCGCTGATCAGCATTCGAAACCATTGCATCTCGAATGGAATTTACCTAATTGAGTGAAATGTCAGAAGGTACGTTAAACAAAAAGTGTTGTCGCATGTTTGCTTGTAGCGTATATGCAACGTAATTTTCACAACGTACGCAACTTCTCAATACGTCCAACTAAACGTGTCTGCTGTGCAGTGAAGTGGGAATGCGGCATCCATAAAATAAGCGCCAGAGGAGGCCAGGACAACATCCACGGAGAGTGAAGTGCCGAAAGCTTGACCGAGAGTGAGGAGGCATTCACGCCGTCCCTACGCGAGATAAGCCCGTGCCTATTCTTGAAGATAACAGTAGCAAATGGCTGGACGAGTGGTTGAGAAGCACATTTAAGGGTTGTGGGATCGATATTTGCAGGGGCAATCTACTGCGTGGTTTAGGCAAAAAACGTTATCTAATATAAACTAAAAGCTTCCTATGCAGGTTATTTTAGTGGCTCGTATTTGCTCCGTAGGGCTGCTTTCTAAGAGTATAAATGATTATCAAGCTATGGGTTTCACAAAACACAAACCTTTAATAAGTAAAAAAAAGTAAATAACTATTCATTACCAATTTGACAATATTACCAATTTGACAAAGGGTTCACTGGATTAGGTAAATAACTTTTATTACGTGCACAGTGAAAATTCAAACCCTTAAACTTTAAAGTAGGCCCACTGCGGTGGTCTATTGGATAAGGTACTCGGTGCTGGCCGCGGGATTTTGAATCCCGGCTAAGGCCTTCTCAACAGTCTCCACTGTTTTTTTTTGCATTGTCTTGCTTGTCTAGTAGTTTTGTGTTCCAGAAAGTGTGTCCGAGTTCACTTGCGGGACTCGCCATTATGTACGCGAAGACTCTGAGCTCGAAGTGGGGTTTGGACAACCCCATATTCACGCGTTTGCGGACGATGACAACCTACCTCCGTTGGCGTTAAGTTTACTTCTAACCCCTGCCTGCGCACGAAGGGAGCAAATGAGGGGGCTGGTCACCTGACTTATCACCGGACGGAGCCAACTCTGCCCCATACGTTGACTAAGTCGAATTGGTCCCGTAATTGTTTCAAGTGCAAGGCTCTAACCAGGGATATTTTTGCCCTAACTGTAGCTGCAGACCACTGATGTTGAATTTGAAAACCTGTTTACTTCCCAAATTACACGCTAAAAACTGACGCCGTTCTACATTGCAGGAAGCACATTCTCACTTCTTTTTCATGTTTGAAACTGAGGCAGTTTATTGAGCTACCCTGTAGGACTTCTGCATAGGTACTATGGCTTTCCATAAAAATTTCTGTAAGTCTCTAAATTTACGATAGCATTGCTATTGAAGTGAAACACATTGAGGTTTTATAATAGTTTAAAAACATTCAAAACAATGCTTACCGAATGTTTAAGTGGTTTGGTTTCATCAAGGAATTCATCTGGACTACACAAAACAAGAACAAAAAAGCAGTATTTAGATCCTGTGAGATATCCTACTTCTCGTAGTTAGTGAAACAACCCTCGTGAGTTTGTAAATAATGTGTGGGGATGTGTGCAGTCGGCCTCATTTGCATAGAAAAAGAAACTCGAGGAACAGATGCTTAGTCGATGTCCAGCTGAGGACGTTGGGTGCACTGGACGCACATGCAGAAATGCGCGCGGGGAGGAACGCCAGGAAAAACAGCGCAGGGCACACCGCGGAAGACGCACTTTCGGCACGCCAACGTGTGGCTTTGAAGACAATAAAAGATTTGAAGACAATAAAAGAGCATGAAAGGCAAAGTTTTTCGCGGCGGCAGCTATGCGTAGCCGCTGCCGTGAGCTTCGACATTTCACTCAGCAGTGAGCGGCCCCGTACATAGAAATATAGCACCTGACACAAAAAACAAGTGCCCCCCCACCAAAAAATGGCAAGAAAAAAATGGGCCTCGCATCTGCATGTCTGATTGCAAATGTCATCGAAAGGCGATGGCCTTCCGTCTGGAGGAAGTGTATAAAACGTTTATTTATTGTTCTGCTCGAGAAAATTGGTGAGTGGGATTCTGTAGACGTTGCGTCAAACATGAGCGTCATGTGGCCATAATCTTGGAAAACGAAACAATGCCCGCGGCGTATGTGCGCAATATCGGAGCCCATAGTTTGTAAACTGCAAGGTAGGTGGCAGCACCGTATCGTTATAACAAAGCGTAGGAAACCCGTTTTTTTGTTGCATAGTATTACATTTCATTGCAGCGTAATAAACGCTATGGTCCTTTGCTAATGCCTTTCAAGTATAAAGAAACACATACTACAGAATATTAACGCGTTGATATTGTGACTCAGATATGCGCAATCTTTGCTTTTCACTCGACAATCGCACAAGTATAAACGCAGTAACGAGATCAAGATCGGTGGGCGTTGAAATTGTGGTTTAACTGTAGCCGTTTCGGTTGACATACAAGTCGACGGAAACAGAGACAGGCCTAAATTATTGCGTTGAAGCCCGCTGCAGAAGACACCATCATCACAAGCGTTTTTCATCTCGGCGCGTCACGTTGCGTGAAGATCATATTCCAAGATGAAACCCTCACGTCACACGCGAAGGTGGGACACATTCGGCACGCTGTTCGTCTCTTCGTACCAAGGCAACTTCAGGGCAGAAAATGTGCGAAGTGGGGTCACTTGAGCAGCGTATGCAAGAACGCCACCACTTGCGTCCGATACACTGAACTCTACACCACTAACACATGTCAGTTCAATATTCGGAAACGTTTAAATTGTGAAGGGTCTCAAGATGCATCTTCGAAGGGCCCAGCAGACCTCGGGGGCGCCATGGCGAACGGTGCCTTCTCACGGCTCTGGACTACGGGCGGAGCTAAGTAAACGGCGTATCACTCAGCGGTAATATGAAAAGTTGTGGGGATAACGCCACAGCCTGGACAGGCATCAGTATAACGAGTAGGGTACATTTTATTACAGCGAAAGTTGTTACGAGATCACTTTTGGGGTCATGCGCAGTTGTTGTTGCTCACTACCGCCGGTGCTGGTGTCCGTAACCACATCGCGCGAAATTAGAAAAAAAAAACCTTGCACCAATTACACAGTGGGGCTTGAACCCGGGTACGCTTAGTGCCCGCCTAATATTCTACCACTGAGTTACGCCGGTGCTTCTAACTTCTGGTCAAACTTGGCTTAGGCAGGCATGACCTAGCACCAGCCCAGATTTCTATCACCGAGCTACACCGGTGCTTGTGACTTGTTGTGAAACTTCTCTTAGGCCGGCTTGATGTTTTTTTTAATGCGTGAAATCATCACCAGTGAACCAGTGAAGTACTCACAACATACTTCATCAAAAGTTAGGCAAACACACAGTAGCATCAAGAAGGGGAGGCCACTCCGCAACGGTTCAAAAGTCTCAAGAACTCTGCGCACTTGAGCAGTTTCATCTCAGAAGAGGGATCTCGTCGACCGTGGTGGCTCGGCGTGTCTATCAATCATGCGGTTTTATCATGATTAATAAAGTCCCAACAACATAAACAGGTCATATGAGGTATCATCAGTCAGACTGTTCTTGAATGAGCTGTCATGAGCTGTGATTGGAAGTTATTTTTCTATTGTTCTTCTTAGAATGTCTCAAAAATAAAAAGCGTTACGACAATGATTAAAACAATGCTCTATCTTCTCAGATTTTTTGCAGAGTCTACAAGACACGTCCAGAGTACATATATTGATTTTTCATTGAGCCACGTTTTTACTGGCAGCGTGGAAGTGTGCAGTTTAAAGAAAATGTTTTGGCTGAAGGAGATATCGACATTCTACGTACACGAAATAAGGCATCGTGCCCAGACAAAAGCGATTATGGCTTTCGATAAACGGGTTCGAGGAAAAGGTTATTCACAAGTGGAGTGGGTAAATTTGTTCTGTGAATGGTATACAAATACTCTATGGTAAACCTGGTTTCAAAATTTGGCAGTATCGAAAATTTCTTTTAATAATTTACACAACGGCAACTTCTTGCAACGCTTGTTGTGACATAAATAAAAGGAAGGTGGTAACATAGACGTTTACGAAGAACCGCTAAACGAAAGGGCATGCACACATCCTTCAGGTAAAAAAAAATCGCAACACCAACTGTCACATGAAGAAATGCACAAGGCCGAGGCCACCCTTTCCAAGCGCAAGAAAAAGATTGTCTTTTGTCATAGGCTCCCAGAAAGGGCTCTAAATAAAGTAGGCAAATATCCTATCAAAGGCATGAATGTGCACACGAGAACAGTGCAACACCTGCAGAACATAAATAAACTTTGACGCAAGGACGAAGGATTGCACGCTATCGCTCTCGAAAACATGGAAAGCTCCCGTCCGTTCCATGTTGCTCCCTTCCGGCGGATCGTAGTTGTCGCAGTGGTCCAGCGTGGGCCCCTGTTACCATAGTTATCGGGAGGCACACCAAGATATTTCATAGGAGACGCATTTCAATGAATATTTGCGAAGACCGAAGGAGTTTGGGCCCACATGCCTAGCCAGAATCCACTACTTTTATCAAAATTTATGCTGGCGCCAGCGACTTTGCAGAAACGTAAAGTAGAGTTTACTGCTTCTTGAACGCTGGGTTTATTAACGAAAAAAGGCAATGTCATCTGCATAAGCTAGAACTTTAACTTCTTCAGCATCATATTGGTAGTCTCTTATTTTAGAAGCACACCTAAACATAATTCTTCCAGATAAATTGCAAAAAGCAAAGACGAGAGCGGGCATTCCTGGCGTACAGATGAATCTAACTTTATTATATTGAAAATTGTGCGATTTACAATTATCCTGGTTGTGCGATTCTTATAACAGAGTGAAATACCTATTTACAGTACATCACCCAACTGCAGATATCATAGGAGCCGGAACAAAAAGCATGCTGTACTTTATCAAATGCTTTAGCGAGGTCTATTTGAAGGACGGCTACTTGGTTCATCCTAACATCAATACACACAAGAACTGACTGTGCAATATGAAGGTTAGCCTCTATAGAGCAACCACGAATTCCACGTGATTAGTGGCCACTTACACATTCAGTAATCACTGTATGTATCCGAGTTGTCAACAATTTCACAAATGTTTTGTAGTCAACGTTACATAACACTATAGGCCTATATTCGTTAACTTTTGCTAATGCCTCAGGATCAGTACTTTTGAGGTTAATGTTGCATGGCCCTGATAGAAAAAGGAGGAAGTTCACCACGTTCATAAGCCTCTTTAAAAAGTTGCTCAAAGAAAGGTATTAGAAGTGCCTGAAATGCTATGTAAAATTCGCCACTAAGGCCATCTGGGCCAGGAGTTCTGTTCTTCTGCAACGTTGTTATTGCATATATAATTTCCTCTCTGGTTCTGGGCCCATCTACAGTGAGTCTATCATCATCTTGTAACAGAGGCACAAGGGCAATGAAGTGTTCAGCTTCTTCCTCGAAATTCCCCTGAAGCTCAGCCGTGGTGAACACACTTTTGTAACATTATTCAAATGCGGTTCTTACTTCACATGTCTCGGTGCATAGAGACTCAATATGCAGTATCTGTTTAGAAAGTGCATGTCTCTTTTCATTCCCAAGGGATTTTTAGTGGGTTTCACTTCAGTGAAATGGGAACGAATCTTTGCTCCTCTGTGTAAATCTGTATCGTCTTTTTGTATCTGTGCTCAAATCATATTTATCTCGTCCACGTACAATCCCGGCTGTGGACTTTCAAAAGTATGGAGCTAATGAAGTAAATCATAAAGATAGCGTTTTTCAGCGTTTTTCTTTGCGGTATTTCACATAAAATACTAATCACCTGATACTTAACGCTTTCTTTGAACCTTTCCCATTGAGTGAAAATTGGCAGCTGTCGACACCTCTTGTGCCAGTTCTCTTACTAAGTTAGCAAAAAAATCTTCGTGCAACAACTGTACGTTAAGCTTGCATAGGTCCCAGTTTAGGGGGGTTTTCGAAAATTTTCAGGACCCCAAAAAACGGTCGCCAAGAAGTGGTCTGTAAAAATATGGGATTTACTGCTTAATTATGAATGTGAGACCATAGACTTATAGATACCTACACACGGCCAAGCCGAGCATGAGAGCTGCCTTGAAAGTGCGTGAACCTCCCGAGGAAGGTGCATGCGCTCCCACAACTATTAAATTGTGTTCATTCAATAATTTATTCAGTAAAGTTGCACGTGCATCATAACGATTTGTTATATATGAATGATCTCTCACGTCACAAACACATTTAAAGTCTCAAAAAACTATCAAAGAGAGCATAGACACAAATAAACCTCCAATTATGGGAATGAAAAGTGTCAACAATTAAGGCGTCCTTTCCCATCAACATTTAGCGTTGTCAAAGTATGATTTAAGTGCTTTCTAACTAATAAAAATCATCCAGCGAATGCGCCACGCGCTGGGCTGATGTAAAATTGATAATCTCGCAAAACATCCAGTGCAAGATCGGTGTCACGAGCCGCCTAAATCTTAGCCTCTTGCGCTGCAGCTACATCAATGTTCTACTGCTAAAGCACGTGGCGCAACTTCGACTGACACCTTACATTCCTCAAACCACGTACGTTGAGTGTCGCTACACACATAGGAAACGTTAGCGCAGTAGTCATTTTGCTATCTTAAAAGGTTTGTAGTCCACGCTTAGCCACAGGGCAACCTGTGGCTTTACCATTTTCGCACTCTTTAGGAGAACTTTCTTGAGGGCGCTGATATAAGCGGCACGTCCCTCGGTCCCCAAAGGAGGCGACATGTGGACCACATAAAGACACTTGCTTTGTCGTGTCTGGCGCACTCGTTGTTGCTTCATTGGTGACCGGTGCCTGATGCTTCCTTGACTGACCGCTATCCATTGCTTCTTGTTCCTTGTTGTCAGGAAGCTTGTTTTTAGGATCTTCCAGGTGGTGTTCTCCTGCAGCATTGTTTTCATTTATGCTTTCACTGCCGTCGTTAGCGATGCTAATTTGCGAGCCGAGGGTCTCTATGGACAAGTGCTCAGCTTCCTTCGAGCCACCTACTGCTCCTCCCGCTCCTTCTCCTGTCTTGCTTGATTTCGAGAAAGCAATCGCGTTAATACGACTTATAAAGCATTTTACAACACCAAAAGAACAACCAGTTTTCGCACAATGTCAATAGCGTAACACGTGGGCCATCTAATGCTCCGAAATATCACAAAAAACCTGTTCTTGTTCCCCTTATAACTGTGGTCCATAACGACCTCAGCCATAATTCCTCATCGTCGTCAGCCACTGCTTGGACAATTGGCACAAAATTTCTTGCAAGTGTTTAGCGGATATTACGCTTCTCAGAAGAATGACGGAAAATAGCATAAAGAATGCTGGCCTACTTCCGAAAGTTTATTATTAATGCCCTCGTGAGTACCAAGCAAGTATTCCTGCAGTAGTTACCTGATGCGTGTTTTGAAAAGCCTCTGAAAGGCCGCTCTTCTTGCTTTCGCTTTGACTGTGCTGCGCCTATACCGTGCAGGCCTGGTGGTTTTCATGAAGTGGAGGTTCAAGAATGTTCAAGTCTACAGTTTGCGAAGTGCGACAAGGTCCTCGCGTGGGAAGGAGTCTGGTGGGAGTTTGTATTGTTGTCGTTTGCGTATGTAATGTTGTGTGACTTCGTGATATGCGAGAAGTGGGGAACTTAACTCTGTGTTGGCCGCCTCACTGTGCGGGGCTGCTCGGAGGATGAGTTCTTCAGCAGCCTCATGAGCGCGTTCATTACCCGACAGTGAGACAGCACTAGGAGTCCAAAGCAGGTGTAAGTAAGGCTGTTGTGTGAAGCTACTTTGGATGTGCGTTGGGATGAGTTAAGTTTTGAACCTGCTTCAAACAGCAGACGCCGCTGCTTGTTTTTACGCGTTCGTGGTTGTTTTTCGACTTTGTGAACGGTATTGATATTACCGTAACCATTTGACTTTCTCAAGTTAAAGGAAAAATAGGAAGAAAAAGCCAACTAATTTCACTGTGATCCTCGACGCTCACAGTCAATATACAACATTAGGAATCTCAAGCGTCTCACTCAAATTGGCGCCCCAGAAAGCCATCAGGGATTAAGAGGGGAAATTTAGCAGGCAAATAACCAAGGTCCATAAATGTATGCAGCCCTTCTTTCCCGCACAAGACTAGCAACTTCCAGGTTTGTGGTTCTCGCGCTCAGTTAGTCTGCACGATACGACACAATGTTGCGCACATTTATCTTCTCAATATGCTACCCGGCATTTATTTACTCAATATAGTATGTTAGCGCTCCCCTAATTTCTCAAAAACCTAAATCTAAGGGCGACCTCAGCGGGAGGAATTGCAATCTTTGAAGTGAAATTTCCGTTATCTTCTATTTCAGGGCGATCATCTAAATGACCATCCTGTGGTATGCATAGTCGCGCCACCAATAGGTCGTGAAAACTTGCGAATAGAACCAAACATTTAGATCGAACATTCGTGATGGCCAGATAGCTGACCGCCAAAAATGGCCCAGAATGCACCGCCGTTGCAAGGCAGAGACTCCACGGGACTATTTTCGAGGACGTAGAGCCACTTTTTGAAAAAAAAAGGAGTGGCTAACACACAATGTGCGGACGACATATCTGATCATACCAAGACCAAGTGCAATCGCACGTATGAGTTAATAAACAGCTACGCACTAACAAGAACCATGAAATACTGCATGATGGACGAACCACCGCTGCGGACGAGCTTCAACTCTTTCGTGTACAGAACTCCAGTTTGGGCTGGAAGCAGATTTTTATTAGAGAAATGGCGGAATCATTTGCAGAATACAATTTTCTCGCAAGAAAACAAAACATTGGCAAATATAGCTCAAGAAATATGAGGTGCTCATGTGAGGGGATCATCATGCAGTAAGGGTCCACTGGTCACATTCGGTGAAAACACAGCACTCCATTTCTATAGTCCCTATCGTTAGGCATTTAAAAACATGCTACTCAAACAGATCATATTGTGTGTTTGTTACGGTCGGTTCCGGCAATTGCGCATGAATATTATTTACAGTGTTCACAGGTGTCACTACAGCAAGGAATCTCAATAACCTGTGTAATATAACGTGGCAGCAGAGTAAAACAAAAACCGGCCAATACACAAAAATGCCGACTTTGCAACGAGTGTGCGGTTCGGTATTGCCATAATACTTCATCGTCATGAATCATAAGCCACATAATTAGCCTCTTATCTTTTGGAGCCAGTCAGTTGTATACGGGCAGCAGTGCTGTTCTGTCCACATTACGTAAATTTAGTGAAGCAACCGGAAGGACAAATTGCTAGTGTTCCACCTTATGAACACAATTCTGTTTTCACCTTCTTTTTCTATTTTCTGTCTCTGCTTATATACTTTCGCCCTTTTCGCTTTCGCATGCACCTTGAGTTTCGCACTCCTCTGATTTCTCCCTGTGTGTGTTTTCAAGTTTTCGAAAATTACTTGGACAGGACTCTGTCCCTCAGATCGTTCACCGACCATGGGAATGATGAGTAGTACATGAATTTTCCTATTCTTTGTACTTGCGCGCCTCGAATCGCACTTGTCACTTTCTTCATTGCTGTGTTTAGGTTTTATGTCGAACAAATAAAGAAACCATTTTGGACTCCGCAACCAGGATTAAATTGGTGAGCTTAAAATATTAAGGTTGTGAAGCGTAACTGATAACTATTGCCGATTGTTGTATCGGAACCAAACAGCTTCAAGTCATGCGAATCTCACTTATCTCTACCAAGAACCGCTGGATGGCACACCAAGCGCGCGTGGTTGAATCACCTGGAAATTGCTGTTGGTGTCCCGGAAGCCACCGCCGTGAACAGTTCCTTGCTGCGTGCGTGAGGGCTCTTCTCTTCCTTTCAATGAAATGATGGCCTCAAAGCAGTAAACTTTGCGAAAAGATCGCGAAGACATTTAACGCATATGTATCTTAAAATTGTATTCCTTTTCTACGCATTCTGCGAGGAAATTGTGCCATTTGACCACCAATTTATTAACGAGGCGTGTTGAAGGCATTCGGCATTTTGTTCTGTAGTTTCCCACGCTCGAGGCTTCAAGTATACGAGCAGTGGGTCAGTAACTTCAAGTCAGAAAACTAGATGCCATCTCAAGGAAGCAAACTTTTCGGTGACGATTTTGCAGACTCGTATTTGGCCACTCGATTTCAAAACCTCATCTTCGAAATGATGCTACCCCAACGTTGTTTTCTTTCCGGATCCCTCACAAAAGCCAAACCTTCGGGCTCCTGGATACCATCGCACTCATTCATTTCTCTTTTTTTGTAGAATAAATGTCTTGAAAAGATTGTTCTTTTTCACCCAAGTAATAAGTAATTTCAACACTGTACGCAACGCTACTGCGTCGTATTTGGACAGCGCCTCTGTGGCGTCTGTCACTTTTCGTATAGAGTTCGTTGGTGTGCGAAGTGATGCCTAAATGTAGGGTTTGTTGCATGCACTACTTGTAGACAAGGAGGTTTAAAGACCACCGTATGTGGACGTTGTCGCTATGGCGTCTGTCATTTTTCGTGTAGCGCTGGATGACTGTGAGAATGTTATCATATAAAAAACAGAAACTTTACGATCACAAAAGACTGCCACCAAAAATACTTTAATTACACGCCTAAAACGCTCAGAACACAACAGCTTCCGGGACAGTGAAGATATCTTCCGGTGGCTTCACAACTAGCGCCCGCACTAGAGAGCAGGGATGCGTCGTCCAGACTTTTTAGTGGGGGTAAGTGGAGAAGCCAAACGGCACGTAAAACACAAAGATTAGGCTAATGCATGCAGTACCCTTAATTCACATTCCAGCTGAAGCTCCATGAGTTCCAGTTTCTATAGACACTAGGGCCAGAGGTGCCTCTATTGTATATTTAGGAAACTCTATGGCCGGGTTTACCCCACTTTCGTGACGTCTTTACGTCATGAATATGACGTTGTGAACTATTTACTAACATATACCGAAGGAGGAAAGGTTCCGCAGTGGGGTGTCGAACTAGCGACCTCGAGCTTCTTAGTGCGCCACGCTAACGCCCCAGACACCGAGTGACCCTGCTCAGTTATGTTAACGGCAACCCACTTATATACACCATGTACCGCTGGCAGTCCTCCGAGCGCAGCACTTCAGCACGTGTTTCGTCATTATTAGCTAGATGGCACGACAATCACGCGTTGTGCGTGCGCACTCTAAAGGTTGTTGTGCCACGCCACCCCGCATGTCGATGTTATGACGTGCCTCCACATGGCATAGTCAAAGTGCGTATAAATGATATCTTGCGTGGTACCTCACTTACACACGAGCTTCTTACAGGATTTGGGTGTTCTGTATCTTTGGTGCTTCCACCGCAAGCTAGCATTGAAATTACAGATGGTAAAGACAGCACGAACGTCACTTCGCTCGCTGCAGTGAAGCAACATGATTGCTCACTGAAGTGTGTCAACTTGCGCACAATCATGCGGGACACACTATTCTTGAGAATTTTATGTGGCGTGGCTTCAGACGTACTTCACAATATTTTTACAGAAATTTTTTTTGGGGGGATAGAGGCACATTTCTGTAAAGCATCAGTGCGGCCAACCAAAGAGACGAGAGTGACCAATGCCGCTGTTCGGAAACACAACGTTACGCTAATCGTATGAAAGAATGTATCAAGGTTCCGAAGCACCGAAGAAGGTGATTGAAAACCTGATTGCAGGCCGTGCCTACTGCGCTTACCAAACGCTTTTCAACCTTAGAATTTGTAAGAAATTTTTTGCTTGCCCGTAATACTCTTCATCATAGCTAATAACGCTGATCAAGGAATTTTCAGCTTCAGGACTACCAGTTGGTTTCAACTTGTCATCCACCACATTTGCCAATACGACTCAATCACTGGGCAACTATGGGCCAGTGTCTTCCAGATACAAGCTATGATGCCCCTCGAAGCTAGCATTCGCTCTGTTTTGAAAAGTGAATACTCGCAGAGCTCAGGTAAAATAATGCCACAGGCCACTTCAATGTTTCGAAAATTTAAAAACGTTGGGCGCGTTAATGCTACCTTTTGCCTCAAAACGCCTCCCAAAAAGTAAATTCAGAAGGCATGCAGAAACCTAGATATAACAGCATCCATTGCAATCCGAAGACAAGGTTTTTATAGTTTCGCAAAAAGCAAAGTATTCAGAGGTGTTGTCTTACCTAGAACACTTCCCTCGCATTCCATATCTCCCAATCGGGACCCTTCGATGCATAGCTCGGGGTTTATGGTACGGTTCAAGCAGAGAATTCCCGAGCCACTCACACCTGGAGACATGAAAAAGAAGAATATTCCCAACAAGACGTTTCAAGCTGCACTCTTCCAAAGACTTCCGCTAACGCTGTTCACAAAGGAACTAACCAATGTAGGACCTACTTTGCTTACGTGGATCAGGCAAAACAAAAAATACGCGCTGTTTTTTTTACCGCAAAGTGAAACCTGCAACGCCTTTTAAATTTGGTGTGACTTTCAATTTCAGGATAGTGAACTGTGGAAAAGCTGTTGTGGTAGTGGTGAAAACCAATTTATTCGATTACAGAGAGCTTTCTGTAAAAAAGCTCCAAATAGTCAGTGATTCTTGACGGGAAAGGGGAGGGGGGCGATTCAGTCTAAGGCTGCGCTTGGAGCAGCCAATCTGCGGGTTCAGTCAATCAGACTTAGTTGATCTTCCAGGTTTTCGCTGGCCAGCAGCTCCTCCCATCGCTCCGCTGTTGAATTTCGTATAGGTTTTAAGGCTGTAATGGCTGGCATGTCACGTGACGTGGTACACAGTAGCATTAGCTGAATACCATGGGCATAGGGAGAATGTGCCGAGGGATGCATTTTACTCAGGGTGTACAAGTTTTCAAACGTGCCAGTTTGACTTCGATTCAAGCCGACCGATTCCTCTTTATTTAGTGTTTGAAAAAACTGTGTAATGCGGAACACAAGATTCAATAGTTTATTGAAGATTATGAAACTTAGTTAAATATGGTTAAACGCTTTGTATAACTGGAAAGTGAAACGCATTTTCACAAAAGCAGTGCTTGTGGTGTAGTGATACAGGCGAGCTTGTACAATGTCTATTTGTGTTTGGGAGCTATAACATTCCTTTACGTGGATACACCAAAGTCAATGCATAGTGACTTAACTGTGTAGTCATGACCAACGCTCGTGATCATAATTTAACCGTTATGGCAGCTACAGATGTCACCACATGCGTGGGCACAATGCATCGTTCATCTCATGAAAACATAACGTCTCAGCATACGCGTCTTCGCGATGTCATAAATTAAGAAGACAAGCACATACAGTGCTCCTGAGTAGTAGGATAACAGGATCCAGAGCTCATGGATGCACCACCACTCTGCATTTCAGCAACGCGCGAAGCAGAAGTTCGTAGCTTGAGCAGCGAACGTACGCAGGCTTTCCACATCCCACTGCTTTCTCTCTCGCTCCACCAAGGCACGACATTCGCCTTTAGACATGGCTGCCTTGATGCCGCGCTAATGGCCGCAGTTTGGCTGGTTGGTGCTCTTGCTCCCTAAGTAGTCGGTGCAAAGCAACGTTGGTGAATCTAGAAGCTGCACCTTCCATCATCGAGCGATCGCGGGCTAACACGAAGCAAAACACAAATACGATAACTGCGTCGATGACTCCTCGAAGCGCAGTCTGTGTTTTTCGCTCCTATTGAGACGCTTTATTCAATGCATCGAAGATTGTTTTCCCCCGCACAACCTCGGACGTGATGCATTTCCTACGTCGCCGAAGAATCGTTCTCTATCCATGCTAGCAAATGTCATGGCTCAATATTTCTCTTGTGCCCTTAAACAAGTCTGCACAGTCCCACACCACCAGCAATGAACACCGCGTGAGAGTGCGTGTGTATGCGACTTAGGCGCATTTTGGAAGCTCTACGTATCTGCATCGGTAGAGCTTGGTTGGTGGAGCACCGAGCACTAGCCTTGGCGTGCTGGAGAGCCAGAGGCTCGACTGCCGGCCGGGGAAGTTTTTTTGTCTCGTTTGGTTACACTAACCTTATCCACGTCATACGCATGATGAACATCCGTGCGTGACTAAAGTTTTGGTGGACCCTGGTATAATGTGATTTTAACATGAATGTGTTTTCTGCCGGGGTCCACACTAGATCCGCTGACGTTTTTGCGTCACGGAAGTGACATAGAGAAATATATACTAAGAGATTGCAAGGAAGAAACCAGAAGGAAAGCATCTGTCGCAAGGAATTGAACCAGCAACCTCTCACTTCTTAGCAAAGAACGCTAACAGGAAGCCATTTATGTACAACATATGCCGTTCAACAGTTGTAAGAGCTTGATAAAATTATCGCGTTTTCATTATCAGTGGCGAGAAAGCGCAACAGGCTCGCGTTGGGGGTGCTCTCAAGGTCACCGCCTCTACGAAGTGCCACCCCATGATCCCATGGGTGGTATTTCCCGATCGCGCTTATGAGACTCGTTATTCGAGAGAGGATGAAGGCCACTTCCCACGCCGCCACGGCCGCGTATACGAAAGGAGCGCGCTACTGACACACGACGCAGGAAATATTGTGCCAGTTGTTCGCGCTTGTAGTGTGTAGAATTGTGCGCTCGTTTCGTGTGTCTTTCTGTTTGAACAGTGCGCTTTAGGTATCAAGCTTTCATTGTTGTTAGTCCGTGCTCGTTCTGTGTACTCTAATTTCATGCGCGCTTTTTTCTTGAGGTGTGCGCTTCAAGTTTCGAGCTCCTTGCCGTTCCTAACCTGACTTCGCAAGTGCTTGTTATCGCTCAAACAATGCCTAATGAATGCTTAACTACCACTGTAAAGACAGGTTTCAAATCCGGGTTATACTGATTCTTATTAGGAGGATCAGCCATGCCTTTTTAAAAAAAAGCACTGCTTTCAACTTTTTGATTTTGCGTTGCGCCTAAAGCAGTTTAGGCTGCACGTAGAAAACTAGGAAAATGGGGGTATTTCAGATACATGCGTCTATTGCGCTAGATCCGAAGGTCTTACATCGATCGGAGTAGGGGAATGGTGGGAATAACGCACTCACTCCACACTATGGCGAAAAATGCAGTGGGGGGACAGCTCGTATGGTTGACACGTAGTGTATGGCATGGGTAGATGATGGAGAAAGTAGGTGAATAGTGGGCGAGATCCGTAGGTAACAGAGGTGTGAGAATGAATGGCGAGTTCAAGGTGTCCGAGGTGGTTGCAAGCTAAGAACTCGTAGGACATAATTCCAAAATATTGTCTTTCTTTCACTGCCCATGTTGGTACATTTAAAGACGTATTTCTGCAAATGATAGCAGAGTAGTTAACCAAAAAAGGACAGTCTGGCTCATAGCTATTACTACATATGTGCTATCAGGTAATTCAGGCAATGATTGTATTAACGGGCTAACAGCCAGGTTGAGTGAAGGTATGTTTATATATTGATACGAAGTGTCATTACCGGGCAAACAAGGGAAGCGTGGGTAGAGAAGAAAGACGACGTTCGAAAGGTTCGAAGGCCGCGTCAACGCGTATTCGTTCTGGGGTTGTGACCATATTTTGCGTGTTTGCAGCGAAATTTTATTCTTCCCTAGTGATTCTATTGCGCTATTGTTAATCAGTGAGCGCTTTTGGCGCTTGTACAGGCATGTCAAATACCTCACTTGGACCAGGGGCGTTTTTCTAATGCGCTTTTCCTCAACCGCAGGGAAACCCCATTGGACCTGTATTGCGTAACGGTGTCTCCACAGTTCCTGTGGCCCTGGTCCCAACCGACGAGGGATTCATACGGATAATGAATTCGAAAGTATTCAAGCTGTGCTGCGAGCAGACACAGGTCATTTCTAGAGTATCTGAAAGGTACGACAGTACGCCAAGGGTAGTATCCTCTGCCATCAGACCAGCCTTGTGTTCAAGACCTCCTGAAGTGGTCCATGTTTGCCTCCACCCCGGTGAGCACATTTATACCTTATCACGCACCATGCGTGAAACTGTTTGTGCTAGGCGAAGACATTAATTGGCTTCATCGGAGGTATTGGAGATGTTTGCAGCGGCTGGCGCAATCTCCTTTCATAGGTGTGGCCGCGTGGTTCACAAGAGTAAAGTCTCAACAGAGTCAGTGGTTGTAACATTTGCCGGATCGAGTCGACCAACGATAATCAAGTCGTGGCGTCTTATCTATCGAGTTGAACCGCTCTCGCCTCGACCGCTGCAGTGCGTAAATTGCTCGCGTTATGGCCACACGGTGAAATGCTGTAGGTACGCTCTTAAATGCCAGATGTGTGGGGAGGCTCACAGAGCGGAGAAATTAAGTGCTCTGTTAAGGCTCGAGAAATCCAATTTCTCAGAATCATAGATCGCAGACGCTGCTCCCGAAAAGAGGCCTCAGCTAAAATTTAGGCTAAAAGCCAGGGTTATCCAGTGGTAGCCGCTCGTCCTACCACGACGGAGGATGCATCTTTGTCCCATTGCTTCCGCGAGCAGAAGTGCTCGCGGAAGCAATGTATAACGCAATTAATCGCCTTTCTGCAAACATTCGTGAGGCTCTATCTTGAAGTTTGACCAACGAAATGACTCATATGATTGCAATGCCAGCGAATAATATCATCGCACAGACTGCAGAGCTTCCACAACCGATCAATGAAGACGAAACTGCATGTAACTACGTCTTCTGACTTTGTCCACTCAGGACCCTTTCTAGATGACACTCAAATCGAAAGGAATGATATACATCAGGAAACTGAGGAGTCTGAGGACATGTATTTAGGCCTTAGATTACTAAAACGCACTAGGTCCCCTCTATCAAAGAAAGCAACGTCGTCAGAGCATGCAAAAAAAAAATACCTGAAGGACAAGAAAAGTCTCTCAAAGATAGATTTAGTAGAAGAAACTATTATGAATAAGACAGTCGTGGAGGCAATTCTTTCAGAAATATAGGGTCACTTATGACTCTCGGTTTGAATTATAGATCAATGCATTCTTCCATAACTTATTTAGTATATTTGTCTTGAAAAATCACCCCAGATGTAATTGCATTGCAGCAGACATGGCTCTCCGTAGATAAACCGTTTCATTTACCCAGTTACAGTTCGTTTGTACTGAACCGCACGTCGATTGGTGGCGGACTATTAATTTGTATTTTTAAAAGAATCAGTTTAAAGGCGAAAAGCTCATACAAGTATATGTCGTCAGTGTGGAATTTTTGCAATAGACGTCCCATTACGCGGTTGCCAAACTTTCTCGTAGTTGATGTGTTCTCTCCGGACGGTGTAAAAGACACTGTATACAATTGGAT